ATAGTGGTAATGAGTTGGAATGAAGTTGGCTAAGAAGGTGTAACACAGAATTGGGTGATATGTTAAACTGGATGCTTTAAGAGCAGGCAAACCAGACCGGGTCAACTTTGACCTGGGGTGACAAAAAGTGGTCGACGGGAAGAAAACACAAAGCAGGCTGAGAGTTTAGCAAATAATTGAGTAAACAATTATTTTTTTGTCTTTGAAAAGAGAATAAAAACAGAAGTACTCTTACCATAATCTACACTTTCTAGCTAGTCTGTACTCGGGTCCATAACAATATTTGGGTCCACAGAGTTTGGTTATGTCTGAGGCAACTTATTAGCTGGAAACCCCAAAAACCCTCGGACACTACAGAGAAAGCAGGACATGTCTGTCCGCAGGCCACTTTGATCCAGTTACAGTCCTGTGCATTTACAGGTGGACAGAGGCTCCTGCAAATCACTTGGGCGCGAGATTTAAGACCACTTCCTTCACTCTGTTCAAACTCACTCTCCTTCTCTTTTCACTCAATTACCTACTCATTTCTCACCGTGTAAATAGTGTTTACTGAAAATCTAAAAACAAAGAAAAAGAAAACAGGATGTTACAGTGCAGTGAAAGTTACTAATCTACTGCTTTAAAAAAAAAGGTAAAAAAGTATTCAGTCTTAATTTAAAAGTACAGTTTCAGCAGACCTGCAGTTATGTCGGAGTTTATTCCAGATATACGGAGCATAATAACTGAACGCTGCTTCTCCTTGTTTAGTTTTGACTCTGGGGACAGAAAGCAGACCTGCCCCAGACGACCCGAGAGGTCTGGATGGTTCATAACAAAGCAGAAGATCAGAAATGTATTTTGGCCCTGAACCATTTAGTGCTTTATGAACTAACAGCAGGATTTTGAAATCAATTCTTTGACATACAGGAAGCCAATGTAAAGACCTCGAGCAGAAGCGTTCTGAATCAGCTGCAGCTGTCTGATGCATTTCTTAGGGAGCCCTGTACGCTGTTACAGTAGTCGAATTGACTGAAGATAAATGCATGGATAAGTTTTTCCAGGTCTTGCTGAGACATAAGTCCTTTAATCCTCGATATATTCTTCAGGTGATAGAAGGCTGACTTTGTATTTACATTCCACCATTGTCTTTTTATCCCAAAATACCATTTTCTAACTTTTTGAAAATGAAAATGAGAACAGCATTTGACACTTCATTTTCAAAGACTTAATCTGCTCAATAGCGGACTTTACTCAAATTTTACATTTACATTGCAAGCAGCTTTCCAAGGGATACAATGCAAATGAAACTCTCTGTCACTCATCAAGGCGCGTCTTCAGTTAAGACATCACTTCCTCTTCAGTTAGAAAGCAATTTCACATTCTCAGGGTTCAATAGTTACCATTACACAACACAAGGCTGTAACTTTACAACCAAATGAAACCTTTCGACCGAACAGCTCAAAGATGGAGCTCCCGACTTTTCTGTTGCTTTTCTGTTTATTTTTAACACCCAGGAAAACTTCCATAACGTATGTTTCTCAATGCATAAAACATAAGACATAGCCTAATGCATATAGTAATAGAAAGAAACAAAATTACTCAACAGATCCAATTTAAAAATAACTTTGTTCCTATGTTCTTCCACACATGCCGGTGTTGCAGGAAAGAAATTTGCATTCAGAATAAACAAACATGGAGGAGAGTGACGTTTACTCTGGGTAATACTGAACAGGAGGACTCGGACCATGCAAAAAAAGCGAGAAGCTCACGCGTAAGAGGGAAGTCTGTTGTATGGACGAGCCACACAACACTATTATAGGAGTTCCAGCCATGATGTGTGCGTCAGGTAACGTTTCATGACTTGCCCACAGACATTCAGCTAACATTTCAGTTCACCTAGACATGCTGTTGTTGTGATGTTATATGTGTATATGTTGATAAGAGATACAGTTGGAAATTCAAATCTCATTAAAGATGTGAGATTTTTGTTATTTCGCGCAGCCCTGTTTGTGAGTGTAGGGAAAAGAGAACTGAAGGGAAAAGCAAGGTGAGGTATTTTAAGAAAGCTTCTCTCCAGTGTGGATTCTCATGTGTCTGGACAAATGGCCTCTGACATGGAAACTTGTTTTACAAACTGTGCAAGTGAAAGGTTTTTCTCCAGTATGAACTCTTAAGTGTAAGGTCAAGGCTGAGTTTTGTGCAAATCTTCTACCACAGAGAGAACAACTAAAGGGTTTCTCTCCTGTGTGGATTCTCATGTGTTGTTTCAAGCATGACTTTTGTGCAAATCTTCTACCACAGAGAGAACAACTGAAGGGTTTCTCTCCTGTGTGGACTCTCATGTGTTTGGACAAAGTGCTTCTGTTACCGAAACTTGTTTTACAAACTGAGCAGCTGAAAG